TGGCCTCAGCCAGCAACAAAGAACCACGCAGCCACTCGCGCAACTCCCACAGTCGTGGATAAAAAGAAATCATCAGGGCAAAACTCGTGGGTTAAAATAATGCAATTTAACAGAACAGCAAAAGGAAAGATGAAAACGCGATTAGAGTACTGCCGCAAAGCGCACCGACCGGACCTCAGCTCATCCTCAGCTCAATGCAAGTGCCCAGTGCCATTTGTTGTGGCTGATGTAACTCTCAGGAGGGTCTTGAAATGAGAAAACAGGTACAAGCCTGCTATAGTACCTTATTCTATGCTGATGTTGACATACAAGAAAGATGTTGGATAGCTGAAACACATAGGAGAAAAGCCATGAGCCTTACAAAAGAATTGGGAGATGGTTTGTTTCACCGTAGGATGCTTCTGGAGAGTAATCTGTTTAGTTTACCCCAGGAGAGACTGAAGAAGGACTTGAGTATGCAAGTATGTACTCTAGAAACGGGACAGTGGTGATGGGACAGTCCTGGTGGCGGAAGACGTTCTAGGCGCTGGCAGTTGAAAGCAGGCAAATTCAGACAAGTAAGAAGATGTGTGTATGTGACTTGTACTGATTCCGACTGCCGCAGTCAAGCAGCGCAGCACGAGCAAACACGCTCCTATCAGGAGGCAAATCTCTGCAGGTAACGGCAAAGCAAAACCTGTGAGCTGATCTGATGAACAGAGAGCAGAAATGGGAGCCGGTCCGGAGAGTCTGGCTAATGGAGGGAAAAGCTATGACTGAAAAGATGAAATTGCAACGCGAAGGCATTGCAGGAGCATCCAAGGGTGTGAAGATTGAGTAATATATCCAGACTGATGTGCGTGGCATTTACCTAGTAGTTATTTGCCATCTCTAGTCACTGATTTCAGTCCTTCATTCTTTAAACGCAGCAAATCATTCAGTGGAAGGAAGATTCAGCAAAAACCCGTGAACACAGTTAACTGATTGAGGTATTTTCTTTCCTTTCACATATGAGGCGCCAGAATCTCACTGCCTGGCTAAGCAAGAGAAACTTCTGATGTTCAGACAATAGAACTGTGGAAACTTGACTCTTAAAATAGCAAGAAAAAGAAGAAAACAAAAGGGCATATGTAAAATATAAACCTGTGCTTGATTGAGGAGCAGAACTTTCCTTTTCCCCCTTTTGTAAGAGGAGAGGAAAGAATTACTCCTTTGTACCCCCTGAGACTTCAGGCTCTTTCAGATGAGATTTAATCACTCAAGAGAGCTGTTTGGAGCTTTTGTTCAAGATTTCATGCAACTAAGAGAGAAGCAAGTGCCACTTCAGAGCCTTATGTTACGATAATTGCAAGGATAAAGAGAGGCAAAGAAAAAGATCTGCATGTTCCCAAACAGTCCTAACTGTGCCTGAAAGCACTTGCTTCCAAAACTAATCCCCTACTTACCCCAGATATTCGATGACTTACTGGTGGCATTCAGTAAGAGGTAGCCAACTGCAACAGACTCTCTAATTATAGCATGACCTGTTGCTAATTACTGTTTGACTAACCCACTGCTGTTGCATTATCGCACTAAATAAATAATATCCACTCTCCTCTGGCGGTGTTTACAGAGCTGATTTCCCATTCAGCCTCGACTCAGCTGTGAACAGTCCCCCAGTGACACCAGCTGCTCCAGTCAGACCCCGCGGTGGGGAGCCCTGCCTGACACCTTAAGCGTGTGATGGACACAAGTGCTGAGCAAATGTGACGGCCACCGCCTTGGCCAACCAAGGGCCAGCTCAGCTGCAGTCCTCAGGAGCTGGAAGGATGGACTGAGGTGGCCGCCAGAGAGGTGCTGAGGGTCCCACGCACCCCGCGGGTCTGGGGAGCAGGCTGGGCGTTTCCGCACACGATGTTTGTGAGGCAATGCACCAGTATCACGAAACACCAGATGTTTCATCCCACCATACACATTTTGGGAAGACTGTTGATCAAATCCGTCTGGCAGGTCTAGCCCTGCGTGCTTTCCAGCCGCTCTCGCGAGTGACCTGCTTAGATTGAAGGATGCAGCCTTTCCAGACCGTCTCCTGTGGAGGCTGGAAGGTCCAGCTCATACTCGGACTCTCTGAAACTACCACTGCCAGGAGGCTTTTAAACCCTTGGCCTGGCCACCATTTCTTCATGCCCAATCTCCCACCGCCTCATTGCCCAAGCAGCAATGACTGCCACACTCCATTTAATCTTGACATTTTCAGAAAGAAATTTCTAAAAATCATACTGAAAGCATTTTGCAGTTCTCATGAGAAACATGAGATTTGAAATTTCCACTTTTTATTCCCAAGGACAAAAAGTCTCTGACTTTCTGGCAGTTATAGCCACCCCTCTGAATATTCTAGCAAATAAATTAACTGGCAAGAAAGCTTACACCGAACCCTTGTTGTACTGAATATGCATCAGCTGGGGTCCAAGTCTGATGAGCTCTGAACAACTGCAGAGATTCTGAATTGCGCTGTAGGATCAGGGAAGCAAAAGTTAGCAAATTTCCCTTAAGAAAGTGCAGAGAGGAATTCACACCTTGCCCAGCACATCTGTAGGATGCTCCAGCCTATATAATTTCTTCCTTGTTGTTTCCAGGCATAAACATGTCAGTACAGCGAGTAGAGCAATGCAGGGGACGATACAGCACTGCTCTGCAAATTGTGTAGCTATTTATAAAAACACAAAAAGTGGCTTTAAAAGTTGCTATTGTGATTTCCTGTCATTTTGTACTTCCTTTATGGACTACAGGGGTACAGGGTGGTGAAGAAGGAGTAGCTGCAGCCTACAGATGCAGTTTAGTATCTTGAGACTGCTTTTAAAAACTTCTATGTGGGCGTTTGCCGAAGGATCTTTTTTTGTATTTTCTTTGCTACTGGTGAAACAACCAACTTTTACTCATGCTTACACAGTCTATCATAAAGTAAATAAAAAAACCTACTTGTCCTAAGAAGTTGCAAAGTACTAAATTAGCCAAAAATAAATGTTCTTGTTGGGAAACAAGTTCCAGATGTGTCTGCCAGACTCCTTCCATCCAAGGCTGCAGTATTCAAGGGTCCACAACCCGGCCTGGATACGAGGAAAGAAATTTCACTGTTGTTGAAACAAAGACAGATAATCACTTGAGAGGCATTTCCATCCACGCTCCATGGACGCGTTTCCCAGGGCTGGAAGGGAAACTCAGCAGGGGCTTGGTTCACAGGGTGCTAATGGGAAATCTCAAGTCCCTGCCAGGATGTCCTCAGGACATGGGCGTGAGCAGAATTGGGACACCAGAGGATGGGCCACGGGGAAAGTATGAAAATGGAGTGTTTGCGCACCTTCCGTACGCATGCCCAAGAACTGCTGCTGGTACAAGGTGGCTAAGTCACCAGATAGGCAAGTCCTTCAGAAGTTCTCCTCCTCCCTCCATCACCTGCTATTACAAGGACAGGTATATCAGAATATATCTATCTTGTGGGTCTCCTGCACCCTTGGGAAAGGAATTTAGGCATTCAGCGCCTATTTCCCCTTCCATCTTTTTTATTCATTTGAATCAAAACTTGCTGGGGATGGGACAGTGTCTAATACAGCCTTGGCATCCTTGAAGTACTGGAAACCAAACAGGCCAGACAGCGAATCCATCAAGCCTGAGAAGGGCTCTTAGGGCAACCTGGAAGTCCTCCAGGAAAGTGGCCCAGGCAGGGACCTTAGAGTTCCCGTAACGGCTACTGCTGCTTAATCATGCCACGCTGCTTGTGTGGGGCAGAATTGAGGGTTCTGATTTTGGCTTCTGCATTTCTGCTACGGGGAGTTACCAACAGGGTCTGCACGGGGAAGCTGTGGGGCACCTGAGCCAGCCAACACCGTGCTGGGCTCAGAGAAGGCATCTCTCCTCGGGGAGACCTAAGCGCTGCGAGCCCCCAGAAGTGGTATGGCAGCAGACACATATCCTTCCCAACCCTTGGTTCTGACTTGAAACTTGGCAGTAGTGACCCAAATCTTCTTGCCAGCTTTCATGTCCTGTAGATGTCCTGCACGGACTGAGTTTCCCGCTGCATGACATCGCATGTCCCCCCCACGACTGCTTCGCTGCCCACACAGCTAAGAGCAGAGCGCGAAGTACTACCGTGGCTCTGTCAGCTCTGATGATGCTTCAAGCCCATGGGTTTACATCAATCCCATCTTGAAGCTTTTGGAAGCACTCACCCAAAACCACCCTCCCAGGTATGTTTGTGCTAGTACAGCAAGGCAGCGTCGGGACCACACATATCTTGCGCCTGACTGCCCTGGAGCCAGCCTGTGCCAGCCATCTCCACTCAGCAGCTGAAATCTTTTTTTAATGTGTCTGGATTAATTATCTGAGAGGAAACCACTGTGTTTAAAAGAAATGACGAAAAGTAAGAATAGCTTCAAAAGTATAAACAGAAGCAATGCCCTCCCGAAGAGCTGTAGAGGCAAACCAGGTCCAGCGCCTCTCCAGCCTCTCCTCCCCATCCCGCCTGTCCCATAACAAAGTTTTTCTCATCTAAGTGGGAAGAAGGGATTACACCCTCTCCCATCTCCAGCACCACATAACGCACACTGACAATCATAAAGATGATTTTAAACAAACTTCAGGATTACAGACAGCAACTTCTCCACACAATTAGCAAGTGAAGGAAGTTAACAGTACTGCACTCATGTGGACTGTGAGAAACCCAGACACAGGGAGGTTAAAGGCCATGACCAGGACTACAAAATCAAACGAGCAGTAGATCTACGATCACAAATCAGCTTTTCCCTATTCTGAGCCTGCACAACATCTGCATTACCAACGGGTGATGTCCTCTCCTTCCATGAGTATGAAACAGGACTTCAGATTTTGGAGTGCCTTTAAATCACCTGCTGGGCCTTACTCTGTTCCGGTGAAGATCATCAACCATGGAAAAGGGGATGCCATGGTTGCAGAACAGTTTTATTAACATCCTCTAGATTGGCTGCGTTTAACTTTTGGCTCCTGGGCAGCTCAGATGTGGTTCCCACGTCAGGGCTATGCCACACGAATGGCAGCAGAGCTGTGCCGACAGCAGCCTGGTGGCTAATGCAGCCTGTGGCTGGCTCCGCGTGGGCTCAGCAGCACTGCTCCGGCAGCCACAATCTCCCTCTCCGTAGCTCTCGTGGCTCTCGCTGTCCAAGGCTGCGACACACAGCTCCTCCATCAGGTGAGCTGCCCGCTCTTCTTCCAGAGATGCCACAAAAGATGCTCCCTGGTGCGGCTCACCTGCCCAGAGCTTCACCTCCATTGACCCAACTGGCAGATACGTGAAGCTTGAAGGTAGTTTTTGTGCCCCTAAATGACAAACCAGGAAGGCTGCACGCGGGCCTGTCACTGACCTAAAATAACAAAGGATCATAACCTTTTTCTCCTGCAATGCAGAGGCGTGGCAGTAAATGTCAGTGTTAAATTGCCACCCAGTGTCAGAGCATGGGATGCCAGAACCACCTACCAGAGCCTTTTCACACTGTGCAAGCGGAATTTATAATTCTTGGTTTGCTGTCTGCTTGCCGTACAGCTCACACCCTCCAGCCACGTGGTGGCCGTAACTTACCCTGCTGCACCAAGCAAAGTCTTTCCAAATCTAACAAAGTAAATACCAGCACAGCTCTTGATGGCTATTACTGTTAAAATGTTTATTCACTCTGTGAGCAGATGAACTTGTGCTTTGGAATGGTTGTGGCTACTAACACTTGTCTAACTTCAAGAAGCTTTGTAAACTTCTGTTATTAAATATAATTTAACTTCTATCTTCTGGACAGCAACACATTTTTTTTTGAGGAGGATTGCTCTAAAACAACTGCATAGCAGGCTTTTAACTGAGATTTACTTCCTGTTTATGCAAAAGTAAATCACGACACGAAGCCCTGGAGTTGTATTTGTCCAAAACCAGGAGGGGAGAAAAGTGTAAACCTCTTCTGACTTTTCTTGTGTTCCTTGGGAAATCTTATGGGAAACAAAACCACCAAGAAAATACTTGAACTTAAAAGCTATGGCGGCTTAGAACTTCACCTGAGCTTCAGGTGAGCTTCAGGTAAGACCAAGTCTCTCACCATCTGTCCAAACAGGGCAGCAAAGCATAAAGCTAGAGGTACCATTCCATCAGAAGAGTGCCTCCGCAGTCTACACTAACGATTTGGTAGTGAAGTTCTTAAGCACTTGGCAGTGCCCTCAGCATCCTGTGCCCTAAAGACCTGCTAAAACTCACGGATGAAGAAACCAGAAAATGCAGAAAAAAGGTGCTTCCTCGGGACAGCATGTATAAAGGGGAAAAAAACCTTAATCCTCGCCTCCTGTAATGAACCCCATCATTTTCTTGAAGTCCACTGTGTTTCCAAGTACTCCCTCACAAACGTGAGCTAATGAGCTCTCAGTGGTAATGCTGTGCCACAGTGGAAGGAATCACACTGCGTTTGCTAGAGATGAGATCGGATAAAAAACCTCAATGAGACTGCCCTCACGAATGACTCCTTCAAGCACAGACTATTGAATATGGTTTATTTTTATATTTCATAGCTAAAAAACTTGCTGAATCTCTTCTGCTGCACAGGTCTTGTGCTCTGGTGCAGCAACAAGGTTACCTCACCCAAAAAGCTGGTAAAGCCTGATGCTAAGGTACACTCTTGGACTGCTTGTTTGCAGTATGTGACCAGACCCTTCTCAGGGCTCACTCGCTGTTTCCCAGAGTCTAAGTTCAACAGATAGTTTCACCGTGGGTTGCACTGTTCGTCGCAAAGTCAGCAAGAACAGCCACACTCGCTCCCCAGCCAAGCTGGCGGAAACACTGCCATCAGCTTCCACAAGTTGGCTTAGTCCCCACTAGACAGCACGAAACACCAGACCTCGCAGAAGGGTTGAAGGAGGGTCAAGAAATAGATATCCTCTACAGAGGGTCTGCCAAGAGCAGTGGGAGATGGCACTCCTCCAGTGATCGTGCTCTTGCTCATCTTACCACCAGATACCAGTTCAAAACCTGCCACCTCTTCCCCACGTTACAAAGTCAAAAAAAGAGAAGGTCATTTAAGGCTTGTTATATGTTCATGACACAAGTTTGTGGTCTCTCAATGGAAAACACAGACAAAATAACCATCTATAAAAATTACTTCCAAGACAAGCAAGCCTTCACGGTCACTCAAAACTAATAATTTGTCATGTTGGTCTTTTTTTCCTTCCTATTTGTCATTCCTGGGAAAACTCTTCAGGATGAGACTTGTCATGTTCTCCAGATGGATCCAAGGAAAGTCTGATTTATGCTTCTCCGGAATCTTCTCCCATTACTTCTGTCCCTGAGCAGCACACGAGCTGTTTGCTCTCAGCAGTCATTTAAGATCCTTCCATAGACATATATTTATTGCCACATACTTTGCTGTTTAAGAGTTTATTTTACTCTAAAATCTCTTGACTCCAGCAACACTGCACTTTCTCAGTGGGTCCTAACTTGCCTTTTCAAGAAATTACTCCTTTGGGGTTAAACAAAATCAAAATCTTAACTATACAGTTGATTCTCTCACTACATCAGCTAATCCTATTTCCTTCATTAGAATTAACTGTGATTTCCACCAGCACAAGAAACCCAGCTAACAGTACTATGGTCATAACCTCTCTGTATATCCCTTAGAAATCAATTGTAGCTCACAGATCATTGAGTGCTGGTATCAATTTATTGATTTTTATCATAGTTATGGATATTAGCATTACATATTCATCTCAAAAAGTTTCTATGAATACAAAGCACTACATAGCCACTTTGACATGGATATTCACAATTATTCATTCATCAGTTTCCCAGATTGGGTTGTGTCCATTCTTTGTGCTCAGCAGCATGGAAGGGGTAAAGACAAAAGAACCCATGAATCCTGACAAGCCACAAGTGCTCAGGAGCTTAAAACAGTTTAACAGTAACTAAGCTGGTTGCCTCAAACGTGGGTATTTTTTTTAATTTCCACAAAATAAATAAGTAGTAAAACAGTAAAGGTATGCAGGTAAACTAGACAGAATGCATTAATATTGTCCTTTCCCAAATTATTTTTTCATATGCATAATTAGTATGTAGTAATGCATGAAACTTCCAGATTTTTGGAAGATGCTCATGAGTAACAGCCCCCAGAAGTTACAGTGAACTGAATCACAGAACGGTCAGAGTTGGAAGGGACCTCTGGAGATCATCCTGGGCTGCATCAAAAGAAGTGTGGCCAGCAGGGCAAAAGAGGTGATTCTGCCCCTCTACTCCACTCTCGTGAGACCCCACCTGGATTACTGCATCTGGGTACTGTCATGGGTTGGAACTCGATGATCTTCAAGGTGCTCTCCAACCTAAACCATTCTATGATTCTATGATCCAGTTCACCCCCCCGCCAGAGCAGAGTCACCTACAGCAGTTGCACAGGACGGCGTCCAGGTGGGTTTCGAATGTCTTCAGAGTGGGAGACTCCACCACCTCTCTGGGCAGCCTGTGCCAGTGCTCTGCCACCCTCAATCAGCTGCTTCAGTTTATTGCATGTGCAAAATTGTTCTTCACCGACTTTCACGACCAGGAAAAGACAGGAATGTTGTTCCCAGCTGCATTAGGGACATCCCTCAGTGCAGCCTTGCGCCCTTCGCCCCCTCGGAGGAAGCGCTGCCCGCTGCGCCCACCCGTGATCTCCTGCCCACCCAACAGCAAAACACACCTCCTGATGCTGCACCGCACCGCCGAGCTGCCTTCAAACAATCACACCACTCTCATTGAGCTCAGGAAGCTCCTACAGACACAATTCAATTTAAAACAACTGTGATAAAAAACAAATAATAATAAAAAAGACTGAAGAACATATGGTCCACAGCAGAGGCTGGGAAGGGAAGGTCACACTGTCTGCAGTTTGCTGTTGAAGCTAAATGTGGATTTATAAACAACTGGATCTTCTGTAATAAACCTTCCTGCACAACTGACTTCCCTGCGAACTTTTCCAACATCCCTACTCATGCACGGAAGCATTTCTGTAGGATTTGTTAAAACTTACTGCAATGGGTCATCAAGGTTACTACACCACTCAGAGGGCAGCTCGTTACCAGGTAGGGCTCCTGCATATGGCTAAGAGCCAGCAGGATTGCGAATTTATGGATATCATAGTCTGTGCGCGTGTCTCATTGGGACTCTGGACCTGAGCCCACACGCTTCCTACCCTTGACCTCGGAGTTCCCAAACATGTCGGCACCATTTGAACTAACTTCCCCAAACCAGTTTTATTTCTGCACTCTCTGGGTGTACATGTGGCTCTTGGTGACATGCAAAAGCCATACAGGTAACAAGCCTTAGGTAATTACTCCCCCAATCTTTACATGGAGACCACAAGAAGAGACCCATAAAGCATTCACACACAGATAAGTGATGCAGCGATATGACTGTTTTACAGCTGCAGACCAAAGGTTTTCAAAAGCACAAATGGTCTGGGCTTTGACATTCTGGGGTGCCTTTTTTTTTTTTTTTAACCCATTTATGTCTTTTTCCATACAGCTACTCCAGTTACAAGAACACAAACTGCTGATTTGGTGGAGGGTTACGAAGTGCCTGGTGAGTAACAGCCTCCTCGCGAGGTGATGCCTGGACCTGTTAGACAGGTCAGAAAAAAGACAAAGCTCCAGCCAAGACAACCCTGTTAAACAGCCACCAGTGACAAGAGAACAGCTCATCAAAATGCCTACCTACTGCACTTCTGTAACAAAGGTAGTATTCTTTTGGAAGGGTTTTAGTGAGCTGTAAGTGATAACAGCAGCTCCTGACTGCCAGTGTACAGCCCAGAGCACTCTGCCAAACTGGCCAAGGAGCCAGGAGAAGGGTGGTCAGGAGTGTACGTCTTTCAGAGACGGAGGCTGAGGCAGAGCTGGGAGGGTAAACCAGAGCTGCTTAACTCCAAATTGCGTGTTTCATTCAGCAGAACAACTCTTCCCTTCCTCCTCGCCTTGGGAATAAGGACCTAGCCCTCTTCGTGTCTGAAGGCAAATCTCAAATGAGCAAGGAAAGGGGGAAGGAGGTGAAGAAGACTCCAGTTACAGGCTGAAGCACTGGTGGGCTGCACCCCAGGCAGTGCATCGTGCTTTCATGGCTTTTATTTTAAATTTCTATATACCTCTGAGTCCATGAGAGAAAACATTTTGAGCTGCTGCTCTCCTCTGTTCAGCAGAGAGAACCAGAGGTGCCTTTCTGAAGTACAAGCGTGGTCCCAATTTTTCCCCGAAAGCCCTCGGTGCTGGCCCACAGCCCTGCTCTGG